CTGGGAGGCTGTGGCTGGCAAGCGTGCGACACGTGGCCCTGGCAGGGCTCTCAGGGACAGGTAGACTGAGGCTGTCCACCTGTTTGGTCACCACCCTTTGAGACCAGTGGAAGCAGTGGCACCTTCCCCCAGGAAGTGCCCACAGGTACAGCGTTCTGTGCTGCCCTCAGAAGTGGCTGCCCAGGTGGAAAGCTCTCAGAGCTGGTCGCATCCTGTCCCCCGTGGGACAGAGGTGCCAGAGAGGGGGGCTGCCCTGCCCACCAGGGTCAGACACGGGGAAGTGGAACACGGAGTGTATAGCTAAGGGAACAGGCCTAGAGCAGGGATGGGTGGGGTCTCCTGGGTCAGCCAGGTGCTCCTGGAGCAGCTGGATGGGCACCAGCACCCAGGATTCCCAACTCCCAGCTCACTCTCAACTTGCCCCTGCTACAGTTCTGCTGTGGTGAGAGGCCAAAGGGGGCGAGGAGGGGGCAGCCCTGGGTGGGGTGGGGGACGGGGAGAGGGTTGCAACGCCCCATTTTGGACGGACCCCAAGGCTCCGGCCCCTGCTGGTGGTGAGCAGGCTGGGCCTGGAGGTCGGGGAGGCGGGCGGGCTCACCTCGGTGCGGATGGTGCGGCTGCCCTGCTTGGGGCAGGTGTTGACATATCGATCGAAGAGGACACTGGGCTCAGCAACCTCCAGGTTGGGGTCAGCATCCACTCCAGCTTCCAGCCCTTGGAGGCCCCCAAACACCACGAGAGCGTGCCTGGCGCCCACAGGAGGGGGGAGGGTCACTGAGTGCAGCCCCCAGGGCTCTCAGCCCCCCATATGCACAGGGGCCCGGTCCGTACAGCTCTGCCCCCACCAGTCCTGTCCCCTGCCGCGTTCCTCCTCCCCTGGCTGGACCCACCTGAAGTTGGGAAGCTGGGCGGAGGCCACGTCTGAGCCTCGCTCTGATGTCCCAATGGTCAGGTCATAGCCGTCCTGGAAGGGGGCCTCAGCAAACACAGCACCTGGGGGGGAGGCCAGCTCACTGGGGGCTCTGTTCCCCACAGGCCACTGCCACTTGGCTGCGCGTGCGTGTTGGGGGGCGTGGTTTAGGTAAGAGAGCCACAGCCAGGCCCCTCACTCTTGCTGGGAAGTCAGCGATGGAACAGGCAGAGACCGTGCGTGTACCAGCTTGGGGAGACAAAGCAGAGAGTGGGGAGGAAGGAGCTCCAAAAGCAAGTAGTGGACCTCTGACTCATCTGGCCCTTTTACCCCCATTCCCGACCCCACGGCAGGCATTATTAAAGATGCTTTTCCTCAGAAGTCCTTAAAAGCATTCCAGGCAGTGCACTCAAGGAGACCAAGGCCCAGAGAAGGAAAGGCACTTGCCCAAGTCACACGGCAAGTGAGTAGGGTTAGGACCCCGGTCTGACTTTTGGGTCAAGCAAGGCTCTCTGTGGCCTCCCAGAGAGAGAGGACGGATATTCACAGGAGGAAGCTCTGTCCTTACTGAGGCAGGAGGCCAGGCGGACCGTGTAGCCCCAGTAGAGACCAGCTTTGGTGCGAGGGTCCTGTGACGACACGACTTTTCCACGGTAGGTCTTGCTTTCTGGAGGGGAAGCAGACAGGCTGTGAAGACGGGGCGAGGGGACAAGGAAGTGGCTCCGAGCCCGCAGGCGGGCCAGGCTGGAGACGCTTTAGGGTACCTGGGAGCTGCTGCTGGTTCAGCCGCACCGTCACCCGGAGTCCAGGCTCCAAGTGCTTGTCGATCTTCACCTCCTGGGAAGAAGCCAGAAGAAACTGGTGCTGTCCCCTGCAGGAGAGCGGGGGACGCTGCTCTCCCAGACACAGGGGCACCTCAGGGGTCCAGGTCACCCTTTGAGCCCCACTCCCCGGCACCTGGGCCAGACCTGCTCACAGAGACCATTCTTTTTATTATTAATTAATTATTATTATTTATTATAATTATTATTAATTATTATTTATTTTTGGCTGCATTGGGTCTTCGTTGCTGCGCACGGGCTTTCTCTAGTTGCAGCGAGCCGGGGCTACTCTTCGTTGCGGTGCACGGGCTTCTCATTGCAGTGGCTTCTCTGGTTGCGGAGCACGGGCCCTAGGCGCACGGGCTTCAGTAGTTGTGGCTCTTGGGGGTCTAGAGCTCAGGCTCAGTAGTTGTGGCGCGTGGGCTTAGTTGCTCCGCGGCATGTGGGATCTTCCCGGAGCAGGGCTCGAACCCGTGTCCCCTGCATTGGCAGGTGGATTCTGAACCACTGCGCCACCAGGGAAGTCCAAGAGACCATTCTTGCAAAACGACTACTGCAAGACACTGGTCCAGGCCTGGCACAGAGTAGGAAGTATTTCATGAGTAGATGAAATCCCAGTTTCCTACATTTTGGTGGCTATACCACTTACTAGCTATAGCAGTTTGAGTGGTCACTTAACCCCTCTGAGCCTTAGTGTCCTAATCTGTCAAACAGAAGATGTTCCGTAAATAATAGCTATTGTTACACAGCACAGGGCCTGGCATGAAGTAAATGCTGACTACGTGGGAGTCTGTGAGGAAGGACACTTGATGTTTGTGTTTTGTCCCAATTTCAGTCCCCCCCCACCCCGCACCGCACCGCGCTGCATGGCTTGTGGAATCTCAGTTGCCTGACCAGGGATTGGACCCACGCCCTCGGCAGTGAAAGCGTGGAGTCCTAATCACTGGATTATGAGGGAATTCCCTTGTCCCAGTTTTGAATTCAGGATGGGACACTTTCTCTTCTGAGGGTTTCACATTCATTTCTCTCTTCATCTGGGTCTGGGTCATCCTGTTCTGTTTTTAGCCAGTTATCTCAGATCTGTTCTTTTTGAGGGGAGGGGATCCTCATCTGTTTAAATGTTTCTGCCTCCTCTCTAGGAGACTTAGGATTAATAGGTGGCAAATGAATGCTCCGAGCCCCGGCTTGGCAGCACCCTGGAACAGCCCCAGAGGCATTGTGAACTTGATTTTCCCGGGTTTTGTTTTGGTTTGTTTTTCGTATAAGGACTATCTTCTGTTGATTTGATTTTTCTAAAACAGTAAATTTTGCTCCTGGCTTTATCTGTTGAGCCCCATTTTAGGCACTTCTCTGGCCCAAATCTGTATCAATGGGGGACTGGCAGGCAGAGATGCCTGGGGCCAGGGCTCCCCACCCATGTGCCCTCCGTAGCCAGGGTGTGTCTGGGAAACGTGTCTCGACCCACCCTCCAACTCCTACCTTCTTCATGCCACAGTTGACAAAGGAGCCCTGGCCCGGCCGGGTGGGCCGGTCCACCACGATGCCCTCTCGGAACTCGGATTCCTCATCCTGACGCATGTGGTGAGGACTGTCCAAGGGGTTCAGGAGCCCTGTGGTTGGGGAGGGCCAGGAAGATTCTGGGAGGTGCAGAGGCACACGGAGGGGTGGAAGGTAAGGCTGGGTGGGAACCCTGGTTCGGGTTGCAGCTCTGCCACAGATCTGCTGCTTACCACCAGCCACAGGCCTTGCCCTGCCTGGGCTTGCTTTCCCAACTGTACCATGATTTCTCAGGGTCAGCCTTACCTGCAAACTGTAGATCCTGATGCTTGGGGAAGAATGCTTTTCTTAGGTACCTAGGAAAGGACGCACATCTCAGGGAGGCCACCTCCCATCCGACCTGTACCGTGACCACCCCTCCCACATGCTCTGACAAGTCTGTCCTTCATGCCCTTACTGTGGACACTCCAGGTACTGCAGGATCCGGGCCAGCTGCACGCATGCCTGCCCCTTCTTGCCGACTCCCCTGAATTCCCCCTCCACAGTCCTGGAGAGAGAAAGAAAGGGCTCAAGCCCACCGGGTTTCCTTCAAGAGCTCCTCCCCCCAGTATGACCTCTGCAGCACCCCTGCTTTGCAACTCGACCCACCAGGGTTACAATGGGGGCGTTCAGACAGGATCCTCAGCCCAGGCAAGTAGGCAGGGAAAAAAAGGGAAGCTCAGCCAATCATGGCAGCCCCTCCCTTCTCCCTGAGCTCCGGGACCCGCTGGATGGCCCCTCACTTGGCATCTTGGCCCTCTTCATCAAACACCACAATCTCATCCACGCAGAAGATGGTGCAGGCTCTAGCAATCTGGCCGGCCAGGTAGGTGCGAAGCTCAGGTGACTGGGCATTGTCCAGGATGGAGCCCGGAAGGGCCACGCTCAGGGTGTAGTGGCGCCCTGGGCAGGATAGGGGTGTTCATGGTCAGCCAGAGAGGCCAGGGCCATCCCTCCCCTCCCTTGCTCTAATCCCAGGGCCCAGAGTTAGAGAATTTTCCTAATGTGAGGAATTTTGAGCTAAGCAGCATAGATCCAAGTCCCCTCTCTGGGCCTCAATCTCCCCAGGAAGAAAATGGAATCAGAGGTCTCCAGGACTCCCGTAAGAAGGGCATACCACTGGGCCAGGCAAGGGAGCGGTTAGAAGAACTGACCTATATTCACATCCTCTGCCCCCTACCGCCTCAGTTCTCCAGGCGTCAAATAGGGATGATAATGAGTTAATATTTATTCTTAGTGCCTTTTATATGTGCACATTTAACCAATAAC